TTATTTGTTGTATGTTTTAATGAAATGAATAAATAAAAATAAAAAAAATAATCGGTGATTAATCGATTATAAAAATAATCGTTTGTGGCAGCCCTAGCTGTCATTATTGTTATTATTATGCTCCAGGTCCAGTTTGAAAGAGTTGTGTAAAAAGGGTCACTAATGAAAGACAAGCTCATCAGAGCTAAAAACTTGCTTTTACGTGCAAGTTCTGTCAAACAAACAGCACTGAAGCTCATTTCTGTTTGCCTGATTCGTGTGGATTCAAACACAAACACAGACCATCATACGAGTGATTTGCAACCACTGTTGGATCAGTAATTTCTAAAACGTACTGTTATTTTATTTAATCTGTATTTAAGGTCTGCTTCCTGACCACAGACCCAAACTTCCAGAGGGTCACGTCCCGAAGAAATCCAAACCCAAACTGAACAGGTTTGTTTTTAAGCCTGTAACTCTCCTTAAGTGGATTTAATACAGCAGAAATAAATAAAAACATCTTATTCTTGTTTTGCAGGTATTTGACTCGCTGGGCCCCTAAGTCTGTAAAACCCATCTATAAAAAAGGATTGAAGTGGTGTAAGAAGCGCATGGTTGTAGGCCACCCAGCATTGAAGAACAATGTGTGGTATGGTCCAAAACCGATGCTGATGAATCAGTGAAGGATAGAAAAAAAATCAGCACTGCTGAAGGAAGAAGAGGTTTTATCAGCATCATACCTAGAATTATTGGCATACAAGAAAACAGACCAACTGTATTTGTTCAAACTTTTTATTAATCTGCATCAGTCTTTAATAAAATATAACCAGCCACACCCACAATCAACTATCTGTTTGATTTTATTTATTTTCAAATAAATCCCTTGAGGTGAACTTACTCAACTTAATGTGAGGTCAGTGTTGCGTTTTCAAAGCAGGTGGTATGTTGGCTGTGTAAACAATAAAATGTGTGTGTTTACTCTGCCTCTCGACATGTTTATTGTATAACAATAGCTTCGGTGAAAGAACTAAAGAGCAGAAAAGCTTGTAGGCACAAACTGTTGTTGAATGTAACCCTTTTGGTCATTTAAAGACAAAAAAAAAGCCTAAAGCAATTTTTACAGCATGAAAGGAAGGTCTACATTTTTCAGCCCATCTCCGATGTAGACGTATCCGTGCTGCGGGGTCATTGGAACATGGTAGAAGGTGAGCCCAAGCCACAGGAGGCTGCGCAGCACACTCATTCTGCCGCCGCGTTCCGACTGAAGACTCCACAGGCCTAAACACAAATGCAGATCACGTGCAAAATGGTTCACGTTAAAACGCAGGAAGCTGCCTCGTTCTATCTACATTTTCAAATGGAGGCGCCGCAGTCCGCCTTTACAGCTGAAACYGTTCACACGCTACAAACCGCCAAAAGACACACTAATAAATCAGCCCCTGGCCCTTTTGATGTCTATCTTTTGAACTCGTTTCTCARTGGGTGTGACTCGACAATATGAGGAGGACCATGGGAGTTTGACAAGAACTGGATTTGCTACTAAAAAAACATTTAATTACACAGAAGGGAGGTGATTTGAACAGACAGGACAGCTATTCCAACACTTGTTTTTGGACTTGTCTCAGAAACTGACGCAACTACAAGACAAGGAAAACTGTCATAGGTGTTTTGTTACTTAAGATGCAACATGTAGTGTGAGTGAAGACAAACTAAAATGTGAATTAGGAGCTGTTACTTTGTAAAGCACTTTTTTTTTACTTAACATGAAAATTGTTTCTTAAACCAATGATAAACTTTAAATTTATGACTAAACAAAATTAAATGAATAAAAATAAACAAATAAATTTAACAAATTCCCATCTTTGAGCTGTTTGCTTTAAGTAACAGCAATTTAGTTGGAT